AAAGAGACTCTCGCGATGCTGCTGGAACACCTGCATGGGAACACATCAGCAGGACGTAGGTGGCGACTATTCGAATGAGGTACACGACTATCTTCATTTAGCATATGCTGCGTTGTTGTTCCTGTCGACGCTCTTGCCATGCCTATTGTTGTGACCCTCCACGTGACGTACGGTTGGTCCGAAGATACATCAACGGAGAACAGTGGCGTTGCCTTGAATGCAGTGTGAGGCTTCTCGAGGTTATGGACGCTGTTGTGGCGTATCTCCTTCGATAAACTGGCCTCGCTGTCGCGATTACGGATTCCTGGTTCTGGCTCAGGTATGTGCTGTGTGTCATGTATCGGGCGATAGTACTAGCACCCTGCTGAGGTGTGCTGACTGCGATAGATGCTTCCACCTCGAATGTGGGCACCACAGTGGGCTCGTCGGAATCGATGCCGATGGGATTATCGATGATGTGAGACCCTTCTTGAGTGTGTTCACGTGCAATTAATTCGAAAGGTTCAAGTCATGTTGATTATTTCCTAGTAAGAAATTCTTCTACCTTTGAAGGTACGTAGCTCGCACAAACGATGGGTTTGTTCGGAGTGTCAGCAGTGCTCAAGCTGTCTTTCTCCGCTCAATGAGGGGAGTAGAGTGACTGCCAATGGACGTATATGTTTTAAGTGCTACGATGATCATTCTTCGAACGTGTCCGAGGTCACAACATGGGATTCACGGAGAAGACCGGGCCTCATTCGAATCCGCAGGAATTGCGATCCCGTGTAGCGCCTCATTGTGCCGGCAATTTCCATTCTTTGGCAAAGAATCTTTTCGCCTCAACTCGGAATCAGGCATGAACTGAGAGCTCGACTGAGAATGTTGCTCCCCAGCGATCACTCCGTAGTTTGTCGATATTGTCCGCTGTATTAGTCTCGGTATCAACGACTTCCTCTTAATACGTAAAGTGACGATTCACTTTCATGCTTTGTTGCCTCTTCTGGATAGTACAATTGTGACATTCTTGAATTGAACTCTTCCGTCTGATTTCGAGTTTTGAGTTCCTACGCCTCGATTGGTCAACGATGGTGGGCCCACGTGGTAGACGTGCGGAAACCATGTATTTGAGCAATAACCGCCAGACATTTCATCGACATTTTATTCGGCGAGGTCGGCTGGATGATGCTTGGTACATTCAGAGGGCTTAGCGTTCCGCGTGAAAGGAAGCAATTTGGATACAACTCTGGATCATGGATGCACGCTGATACACATTTTCTCCAAGTCTGGAGAGTCCTGCTCCCCCCACTCCACTTTGTTAGCTGGTGGTGTTGGCCGGAAGGTAGAGGGGATATTGAGAGGGTTCCAACCATAAGTCGCTTTGCTGAACCAAGCATGTGACGGAGACGAAGGCATGTCTCAATATCCGCCATCCTTCTAATAAGGGATGCTCAAGCTGGTGGTGAGAGCGCTAGACTATTGACCGAAAGATGACTGGGACTGCTGTGCTGCTTTCCGAAAGCTCCATCGAAGGGAGGGGATATGACTCTCCAACACATTCGTCGGTTGCGATAGTTGTTATGAAAGACAATTCACACTTGTCCGGATGCCACCGCGCACCTAGTAGATATCTAACACCGCTGGAGATGGGACGGCAGCATTAGTCGCAATGATGGATAATCCTGGTCACAACGAGATCAATGAAGGTCATATAACGTTAGGAACACAGCACTCAAAGTAACCTCAAGAAAACCTTCACCATACGAATCGTTGGCTCATGAGAAATACCCCATCAAAAACATCCTCGTCAACCAAATGTTATATATTTGTAGTGCAGGCTCGCGCCTTCTTCGTGTACGAGTAAATACCTGCGGGATGCGAGACAATCGAAACACCCTCACACTCGAAGACTCACTCAGTCTTCGACGTTTGCGGCTCGACGAATAATCTCGAGATCGTTCTGCATCCTCCAGTGACCAGAGGAGGCCGGCATGGTCCAGTCGTAGAAGGCAGCACAGTCTATCGTCAACACCTTGCCACGTATGCGAAGGAAAGGATACTCCTACCTTCGCTCTTGCATCTAGACCTGAGCAGTTCCAAAGCATACCAGTCGCGGTCACGCTGACGGATGTAGTGGAAGAGCCCCACGAGAGGGATCACTGGCCAGACCACCACACGACACAAGGTGCCCAACCTGGAATAGACACTGCAGTACTGAAGGAGTACCATCCAGGTGACACCTGCTGATATTAGCGAAGCGTTGTCTCTCAAGATTGAAGGCGGTGTATGCAGAAGCGACCTCGAAAGCTCCCCGCCATACTCCGCCGATGCCTCCCTTGGGGAGAGGGACCCCACCCGGCATCGGAGGCCACTTGGCCACTTGCACAGGTCTGGTCTTGCCACTTGAGAGGACATCATAGGAAGCGGGAGGGGTATGAGTAGGGAGCTTAGGGTCGATGCCAGGTATCCCCTTGCCCGTAGCGAGGGTAGAAGCTTTCTCGGAGATGGAGGCTGGTGCCTTGCTGGTTGTCATTGGTGAGGAGCAAACCTGAGCCACTATAAAGAGAGCTACAAGATCACTTTTATCTTGCTCAACTCCTACGGAGCGAAGTGCTTCACGTTTTCGCAAAAAAGAGCACTGCGTAAATCGCAACAGCGTACGACCCGGGTTCGACCCCTGGTAGGGACAAGTGAAGCTGGAGAAATAAAACCTGTACTTCAACACCACACCGTTGATAGACTCCATTGATTGCTCAACTCGACGAAAACCGTCTAACATCATGAAATGGCCGAGTCGCATTCGACGCATGCGGCATGCCATGCTTCATACGAGACCTTCGTATCTGCACTCAGGAGCTAGCAGCGATCGCTGCCATGCGCTGAGTAAGCTGGTACCACTCCTGAAACAACCAATATTGGAGACAGGAGCATCAACATGCACCCGCTACGGTATCATCCTCTCCGCTGGTGGTATCGTCACGGACTTCATCAACGTCCTCATCAACCGAGGGAAGCTGACCTCCTCCACGGCCGCGCAGCTGAGCATTCTCGAGCTCGAGAGCTTTGACCCTCATGGTCAACCTGAACACAATATACTCGAGCAAGCGAATCATTATGCCGCACTCAGCGATTCGCTCATCCATTTCCGAGCAGTGCCGACTCGCCTGTAAACTCTGCAGCTTCCAGTGTTCCCTCTCACGTCTCGACTGGTCCAGGGCTGTTCGAACACGCGCTAGAGTCCCTCGAAGATCCAGTGCCTGGCACTATGCTGCGAACGCAACTTTTCACTCGCCATTTTACTTCTTGCTGCCAACGAATCACTTGATCAGCCCCTTCGTCACGAAGAGCCTTCAACGCCGAGATCTCTTCTTGCAATTCCTGAACGATTCTCCTGAAAGTTGTGCAATCCCAAAACTCCCCGGGACGAGGAACTCACTCGAGCCTGTCGTTATCGCTACGTACGTGACTAGCAGCCGCCTTTAATTCCTTCTTATCAGCGTTCAGAGACTGACACGTGAGCGAGTGAACAACGTGCGGGACGGTGCGAATCTGCTTACTTCCACTAGAGCTCGCAACTTGACAATATTGTCCTCCTTTTCCCGCCGCTCCTCCTTCAATGCAGCCACATAGTGGGCACTCCGCCGTAGGCAATCCTTCTTGTGTTCAGCCTCACATCGGAGTGCATCGAGACGGCTGCGGAAAGAGGCGTTCTGAAACCAGTCAGTGTGCCGTTTAACAGACACTGACGCGATGATTGCAACGTCGGGACCAAAGTGTGATCACCTCAGCCGCCAGGTCGGTGTTGATACGCTTAAGCTTTTCTATTGTCGCCATTTGATTAGAGAATCGTTGCGCAGTCTTATCTTCTACTTCTCGTGATGAGCATTTCCTCTCATGCGAGCTCACAGCCGATATCTTCGTTGGTTCAGAGCTCCCGCAAGAGGTGATCTGGTAAGGAAGCTTTCAAGGCTGCCGATCAGTATCCGACTCTCACTTTCTCTCGAGCATGGAGTTCATGGAGCGATAGCTCGAGTTGGCGGTATCGATTCTTTAGTACAGCCAGCTCCCTATCGAATGATCGATTGAAGGTTAGGAACAGAGACTCGAACCCCTCTCCCCTAACTGTTCGGCTGCCTTCCGCCTTCGGTCTGCCCCAGCCACCCTCTTCACGAGAGCGTCTCCCATATCCCGCAATCGCTCACACTCTCTCTTACTCGCCATGTGAAGTGAACGATAATGCCTGGCCCCGAGATCGGCTACCTAAGTCCGTTGCTACAGTAACTGCGGAACCGTGCACTCTGTCACTCACTGATGAGCGATCCTCAAAGGGTTCATTCGGCATGCAGAGGATACTCAGGAACGAGAGAACTGAATACTGTCCCAATCACCAAGAACACAACAAAGATTACACAACAACAAACGGAGGTCCTTTGCTTACCAGCGACCTGAACACAGAAATTCCATAGACTCTGCCAGCGTCACGCTGGAGCTGGGTAAGATGCTGTACTTCAAACCGGCGGCCCGGAAACCGGGGCTTGCGTTTGGCAATAGAGGACTGTTAGAAGGTTGAGATTGACTGCAGTGAAACAACTACCCGAATATCGACCTCGCAGTGCACTGAACGTTCCCTATCAAAGTTACCACTTTATTGGGTACATACGCTCCATATACATTCGAGGTTCTCAGCCCAGCCTGGGTTGTACTCGTCCAAGCCGCCCTTCGTATTATCTGATCTTCGAACTCCGGCGAGAATGCCCCGATCAGCCTCTCCGAGATGTCCTCTACTAGATGAGTCAGTCTGAACGGCGACCAGATCAGAACGCCGCGGAGACCACCACTCAGTAGTCGCCGACATGAGTGATAGGGTCGCGACTCGTTAATTTCACTGGGTGAATGGAGGTGAATGTACGAAGCGGATTGATCAGTGCATATACGAAGGCACATCAAAACTGTACTCCGAACTACTAACGGGCAAGAGATGCTCGAGAGGCGGCCGTATTGGATGAAAATCGCCATGAAGGTTAATAGGTTCGACTAACTGGAGGGAAGCAGGGAAGAACTCTACTATAATGCTCACTCCTCTGACATGCGAACTTACTCCGGCAAATGCATGACCATGCGAGTCGCATGGAGCATGGCATGTCGTTTTGTTTTCATCGAGTTGAGTAGTCGATGAAGTCCGACCCATTAATGCGACAAGATATCCGGCGCGGTCTATGATAAGAAGCAAGAATGTACAAGTTTTTCTTCGCTTTCACGGGTTGTCACAGATATTGCGCCAAGATCTACCCCATTAAATTTCTATCTTGGCGCACGAAATTGTAACGGGTTCGAGTAGATGTAGCGGAAGGGTGTGATGTGATAGTAAAGCCCACGGACTGGATAACACAAGTACGGATGAGCTTGTAGAGCCTCTACAGTAGAGGTAGCTGAGGTACGGAACCTTAGGGCAGTGACTCAAGAGGAGAGGGAAGGGAAACGTGCCGTCCAGCGTCTGGGCGAACTACCATCACCATTAGCTATAGATCTCAGGAAGCACGCAAGCACGTTGATGTGCGCAGGATCCAATAACAAACTAGCCCGCCTGGCGAAAGTGAAGCCTGTGATGGTGGTGTAGAGGCTGGGAAGGTGTAGATAGTTCTGGACGGCTAACGTAAAGCTCTTCATCAGCAAGATCAGTGAGGTTGTGACATAGGTCGCAGTATTCTTCAGACGCATTCCTTTGTGTCATTCAAATGACCAAAGCGATACACATATTCTATGAGTAACATCATGGCGATCGCGCCAAGAAATCGTCCGTGAAGCAATTACCGTTTCGGAGGCTCATGATCGCCATGAACTTAACCCAAAACTACAGACTATTTTCTGACCTATTCGCTTCACCTATCCATTGTTGTGTGATGACCAATGGATCGCCAGACTTGATCATTGACGTTTTGATGAAGCGAACGGAGTCGTTGTGCGAGTGGTGATCCAAATATATACGGCTCATCGTCAAAATCTCTATCATCGGAATTTTCCCTTGGGAGAGTGGATACCGCATGCAAAGTCATAAAACGGCACATTCTAACATTGTGGGTCTAAGGGAACTTCGTGTTGAGCGTAAGAATTTATGATTCGCTCATCTGTGACGCACGAAAGATCTACATATAGTACTAACGTATTTAATAGGAGTTGTTTCACGTTTTTGAATTGGTATGTTCGTTGGAATTTCGGAATGATTGTGACCAGCTGATGAAAATTGAGAAAAAATGCATTCTTCCAGAACAAGTGAAGTCATTAGAAATTCATGCAAAACATCAAGTTGACTTGGAAACGCTGTAGCTGACTTTCACACTTGAACGAGTCCGACATTATTTACTCTTGGATCACTACTTGTCACATTACTTGTTCCCAAACCGATCGGGACGAGGATCTGCACTGACTCGCATATCAATTGCATACTAGCCGATATGCGGCGGGTTTTGAACCCGAGTGGATACGCATATCATTGTACAGATGCGAACACAAGCAATGTCATGGGAAGGAGCGAGTACCTACCCAAGCATGCTCCACAGAGTATTCCGGATAACAACCGACTAGCTGGAGGGGTATGGAGTATCACAATGGTATACCCATTGCGTATCGCTGAGTATATGTATATTATATGCGATAGACTCGTTTGGGAGATCTAGCTCGTCATGAGAGTTGGCCACGCCAATCCGAGATAGATTGAGAACCGTATGACATCATTCCCACGACTGTTACAGCGTTTGATCTCCATATACTCAGCCACGGGCTGAACACAACCCCATTGTATCGGAAAGAGAAAAATGTGAACAAAGATGAAGATAAAAATAAATTGTAAAAAATAAAAAGATGAAAAACGTCTGAGAAGAAGGCTGGAGTCGAGTCGCATTGGCTTAGATATAATAAGAAGTGTTTCCTATCGAATCAGCTCAATAGAAAGTCCATGGCTTACGGAGCGTTTACGCTCCAACACGATCTGAGCATTGATCAGAGGCAGAAACATCGGAAGCCTCCATTGGAGGACCATGACATATCATAAAACCTAATGGCATTGGTCGGCGATACAATAACCAACGGCTAGCTCGAAGACACCCACAAAGCCGAGAACCAGACCTTGGCCGAAGTGCTCATCAGTTGCAACATACCCGCAAAACTCTTCTAGATCCTTATTTCCATAGTCTCCACATGCACACTCCACCTGGCGGACGGCGAACTCCAGCATCTTATTCGAGACCTTTTCGAAACAATCCCTGTCGCTGTGGAAAGGTTGATATGGGCAATACTCGAATCTGGTGAAGTCAACGAGTCGTCCGGGGACGATGGGATTGAAGAAAGAGTTGTAGGCGTCATGGGTCGGACACTGCTTAGTGCCGATGCATGCAGTGGTGGCGAGTTGAAGAGCACGGGAGCGCATGAAGATGTAACCGTTCAAGAACTGGTCGAGCGAGGCGATTCCCTTCTTGAGGTGATCACAGAACTCGTCGGTGGGTGAGAAGTGATCTCTCCCAGGTGACCTGGGGCCTGGGTCAGGTCCAGATCTCCGGCAAATCTCAGTGATCTGCTGGATGAAATACGCGTTGATGGCCGTACTGTGAATGGTTTTGCATTTAGAACAGAACCGGTAGCGACCCCTTCCACTTGCAAGATCTCCGTCTCCGAGAACCTCATCCAGCTCACGACTATTGGGGTTAGGCGGTGGAGGAGCCTCCATCAGGGCTTTGTCTATGAACTTGTGGACATCCGGATTACCAAGGAGGGCCGTGAAGTTTGCAACTAGATCGTCAGCGGAAGGATCAGCCTGGGTGCTCAGGACACCGGCGATGGTTGCGAAGATATTCAGCAGACGAGTCATAGATGGTAGGGGTGAATATACTGAAGACGAGGACAAGCCAGTGGAAAGTTGGAGAGAAGCTCTCGATCGGGTCTGATGGAGGCTTACTCGCACGAATAACAAACAAAGTCGGGCTGCTTCGCGCGATGAGCAGCGTCACGTCACTCCTGAAGGAAGAGCGGGGCTCATGGAGACTGGTCTCGTGTGCGGTCGCAGCTAAATTAACGTAACGAAATGTACGGAGCTGCAGTTCCAATGGTGATAACTTATCAGTGATAAGACTCTCTCTCAGAATCCGCGGATGAGATGTTCCTTTGTCGAGATTCTCATGATCATGCGAGCGACGAGTCCGCTGTCATTTGTTAGAAATGTAGAGGAGAGTTGTAGAAAATGACGGACTGAAACTCAATTCTCAAAACGTGAGGCGTGACAAGAGTGGGTGGCGCAACATTGGTGGCGCAACATTGGTGGCGCAACATTATGACGATGTATTCACCTACAATGAGACAACAACTGAGATATTATTCACAGAAATTTTCAAAGAGCATCAGCACTATCAGTTCGTTGGTGGTATCGCATGCACTTCCTGCTTTGAGCTCCCTCCACGGCGCTGATTCCCACTATAATACTCGCGTTCTCATGACTTGTCTACATTCATGATTATCAGCTCCCCCAACGGATGAATTGTTCCTTGCGAATTGAAACTCCCAATCCGGGAGAAAAGCTACTTGGAGCGCGGATCGCCACGAACGGTCAATGGCTTGTAGATGTCTTCTACTCAACGATTCCTGTTGATGAGACTCTGCCATCGAGCCAACGGACTGCTAAGGAACGTTGCGTGGCAGGGCTAATCCAAGCAGTCATTGTTAAATCAAGCAAGTCCTGTAATATCAAGCAGACCTTGTTATCTCAAGCTCGCTATAGCGCATGGGGGATATACCAAGAATGGGAAAGGGCTTCGCGAGCGAAGCGAGCGAAGAGGAAAATCAAAGCGCAAAGATGTTCTACGTTTCCCAGCAATATGACCCTTCTCATATCACTCCAAGTAAAGCACTTTTGGAGAATCGGAAAGAGTTAACTAAGTAACTCAATGTTCTGGGTGCGAACTAATGGTTATTGAATATAGGACGTTGGGGATGTTGGGATCTGGAAAACGTACCCACATCCCCAGGCGAGCCAAGATGTGAGGGGATTGTACTCGCAGTGGCGCGCTGATATTAGTTATGATGGTGCTACCACCAATTATCGATCAGTCATCTAAGTTCGTTCTACACAATATTATATTATTGATATGTGATACGCATATTACGTGATTCTCGTCCGAAACTTCTGCGAGAGCTTCGGTTCGGAAGTTCCAGACACCAATCCAAGTGGTAGCGACTTGCTACTAGCAAGAATCGTCGTTGTTTTTTTCTTTGTAAGGTAAAGGGTCCAGCTTGGCTTCTTGACACAGGGTGCATGTTTTTATTACAGAATGAAACGTGCACGCAGTGATGTTCGATGTGTTATGGTCATTGAGGCATGATGTCTCAGCCTGAGACTCTCAGGTATCTATCGGCTGTTCAATGACGAGCAGTGTCACCCAACATACGGAAAGCACTCAAACAGTTCGGTTGCTAGTCTTGCCAGTCGATAAGTAACAATGACAAGGCGGGTCACACTGGCTGCCAAGGAGAAGCCATTCGAGGGAGAGTCGAACTCGCGTCATATTTTTCATTCTAGTGAAAACCTAATCGATGAGCGGGGCGCGCGCAATTTCACCGCCAGATTGTTCATCAGTTGCAGACATGCGGCGGAGATGTAGACCTCGGAGTAGGAAGCGAGTGTGCCAAGGGCTTTCCCTAGTATTACTGGGTGTCAGCTTTGAGCACATCGACGGCTTACCGAGAGTTTGCTCTCCCCATTTTTTCACTGCTGGAGGTGAACCTCGGAGTAGGAAGCGAGTGTGCCAAGGGCTTTCCCTAGTATTACTGGGTGTCAGCTTTGAGCACATCGACGGCTTACCGAGAGTTTGCTCTCCCCATTTTTTCACTGCTGGAGGTGTCGCTGACGGAAGTAGATCTCCAAGTAGCAAGCGAGTGTGCCAACGGTGCTCCTTTGACGGTCGGGTGTCGAACTTGAGCTCACCGCAGGCTTAGCAAGAGGTACTTAGCGAGGAGTTTAGGTAGACCAATATGAAGTCTCACCATTTTTCGCTCAACATGTTTCATGTATGTGGTACAAGTACTGTTACGTTGTGTTTCCGAATCCGCTAATATTTTTGTTACGTGAGCCTGGTGTCCGAATCATCGAGCTTCTCCGATTTGATGGGCAACAAGAGAGGAGGGCGTCGCAAGCGCATGAATGCTCGGCAGGTAGGGAAAGCCACTGTACTAAAATCGTGATCTTTATCACAATCATAGAAAGAAGAACATGAGGCTACCAGAGCGGAGTTGCAGAGACTTCAGGGAGAAATCTCTCGGTTGTAATGGGAACACCATGAGGCTTAGGTGACTGGGGGACATGCTCTCATGAGTACGCAGTGGAAGTGCTTAGGGGCACGCAGGACCCGTAAGTTTGCCACTTTATGCCTGTCTAACATTTGCCGTTCACATCATATATATTCCAGAGAATCGGGGACTCCCCACTGTCCGTAGAGGCCGCCCAACAAGGCGACGGGTCGGTGCTCTAGGTCGGTATCATTTCGCTGCTTCGGCGTCGCGTGCAGGTGACATGAGGATAACGCAACTCGTATTGTTAATGACCGTCATGCAGTTCCTGTCTCTGTTCACCGGGACCAGATAAGACAGGAGACTTATGCAGGCGACAGTGATGGCATAGACTCGGAATCTAGCATTGGAGAGAGACGTAAACACATCATGTCTTAATGGTTCCATATCAATTGAATGTGGACTCCCTATGGGAAAGATAGGAGTGATTATGTCAACAAGATTGTTTCTCAGACTTTTCTATCTTGTCGTGCATGCCAGGCATGGTGAACTTTTGCAGGGGATTGCCGGCCATGTGGGGCATAAGATGCTCTGTTTTTAGGACGCGTGCTCGATAGCATCCCTCGAAGGTAGTTCCCACTGGAGTAGTAGAACTGCAACTGCCTCGGTCAACGATGGGGAATCTCTACTACAAGGTAGCAATTCGTCAGGAGAATCGGGATGTTACGAGCTCGGCGCAGTATAAAATACGATTGTTGTTAGCAGTGCTTACACACCATAGGTTGATGACTCAGGCCTCCCAAATGATATAGACGATGGTGACTGGCAAGAAGAATGACAGACGACGAAGCAAACAGTGATGAAGCAAGCTCGGTGAGCGCAAGCTGCTCGTCGATGCAATTCCGGAATGAATCTATTCCGAGCGTCGCTTGGCAGAATGAAGGGAACATAAGTCCTCGTTCATCCGAAGAGCAAAGTAAGGAGTACAGGAGGAATCATCTGTAGAATGAGTATTCTCTACACCTCAAGGAAGCTCTCAGGTTTAATCTGGCCAGTGGCTGATCACTGGTGATTTGTATGAATTGGACTTCAGTCTGCAGCTTGTGACCTGGGTATTAGTGTACCTCTCAATACGGTGATAACGGATATTAATACTTCTTCATGTCAACTGCCATTCCTAAGAGAACATCCCGTTGCGAAATGAATGTAAAAAATGTTTCATGATATATGCGGATACTGTTCAGCTCCGAGTTGATTGAGGGATATACCTGGTGTTGCTGCTTTGAAGGACAGAGCACGAATGTGCCTTGATTGTGCTCCATTTGACAACGAAAACATAAAGTTGACGCAGTATGTAACAGATTTTATATTACCGGCGAAGCAAGTTACAATAGTTACTTGTAATCCCAAGCACACCGCGCTGCTTGGAATAACAAGCTGTGCATGGCTCTCGCAATCCCTGCTTGCAATAACCTCTTCTGCTTGTAATAAACCAATTTCGCCGAATAGAAACTGGATTTGAACTCCACACTGATCTATGATCTTAGATCATGAACCCAACACGCGAAGAAGCGCAAGATTCGGATTTCTACGACCAAATGAATGGTAATAGAGACCGTGTGACATAATCTTCTCACAGAGACACAGAGTGGTGGTGCCAGAATTCGCTGGAACGGTGTAATACAATCCGGCAATCGCAACTTTTTGCTAATGTTGCGGGTTTGCCAAATGCTATAATTCCTGGCAGTCTCACTTTTTTGCTCATTTGTATGTGCTGCTTTTTCAGTTACAAAGTAGCAACCACATTTACACCCTAGCAATTTCTGGTATAGGTTTTAGCAACCAAATGTTGAAAGTAGCAAATTCGAAAGTGTTTTCCAGCAAGTCGCTCTTTTTTGCTCTTTTTTTGCTGCATTGTATATTCCCCCGGAATGTTTTACACCCTGGCACTTTTGCCCAAATGTGCTTCGCCCGCACATTTTCGTTATTCTGGCAAGTTGTGCTCATTTGCTGTTTAATATGTTTCGCGTTGTAATAATATAATCTGGCACCTTTCAAGGTTTGCTCTTGTGTGATGTTCCTGCATGAAATATACAAATTGGCAGTGGCCGGTATGTGACAATGCTGCGCTACTTTCATGTTTTGGCTATTTGCTCTCTTGTAACTTACGCCCTGCGGGAATATATACTAGCGTTTTGCTCACTCGCTCAAACTGCGTCTCTGTTGGGGTTATTAGCAAACTTATCATTTTGCATTATTCGTACGAGCAATATACAATCGAGCAAACATAGTTATGGGATAGCGTTTCTCGTTCGATTACGGTATTACGCCTTATATCTTACGCTCCAGAACATGTTCATGCCCTGTGCACTTACTAAGTATCTTATCTATCAAAGGTGTCACACTTTGTGTCTCACTTCAAGTGAGTCACTTAGTATCGGGTCAAAGCGTGATAGCACTCTAGTGAGATATATCATTCACTCCGAAGACAGCGCGAGTGATGATCAATGCTGAATACCAAACACATGATTGCTCTTGCATGTCGTGATTGAATCAGATGAGATAACAGTTAAAGTGAGTCCCATCTTCGAGTATCCTCCCTCTTTTAGCATCGTATCAGTTGTGTCTCATGGTTTGGTACGATTGTACGAATTGACGACTCAACAATACCCAGAAGTTAAACCCTAAAGTAGGCATTACGTAAGTATTACGGGCAACTTTGACATTCTACACGAGAAACATTCACTCATGGGCAGTGGCACTCATCGGAGCGTCTTCGTGGAGCTATTGTTATGGACTTCGCAGAGGTGCCGAAGGATTGTACAGGGGAAACGCAACACGGACTAAATTACTGATTATGAACTCTACAGCCCTCCGCACACAATATTCACTCCCGGGCACCACTAGAGGGCCTTCATAGAGATACTATTAAGGGCTACAAGAGAAGCATATTGAGAAACGTCCAAATTTTTCTCTACCAATCACCGAGACAGCTACTTGTAGCAACTACAACAGCTGGGCACCACTGACTCAGTGGCACCGAGGAGCCTACCTTACTGCGAGTGCGTACATGGTCGCCAGTCTCCAATGATGGGAGAAACTACTCCGATTCCTCACGCTCGTCCTCTTTCGACCGCTTCTGCTGCAATTCTTTTGCCGCGTGGCTCTCATACTCCTCCACCAATAAAATAGCATTGTTGTTAGGCGAGTACTTTCGCATTATCTCCTCACATCTGGTACCTCGGGAGAACTTGTTCAGCACCGGGTAGATGCGGAGTGCTAACTTAGCACTGCTAAGCCAGCCTGCCTCTTTCCTCGATAGTCTCGTTCGCGAGGGGCATCTTTCTGCAATGACCAGTATTTGCTCAGACTATAGGCCATGTAAGGATCAGGATGCGTGTATGAAAGTCACGACATCTCGCATGGGCACCACTGGGGTGCCTGCAATACAGCACTGCACTGCAGATGAGTGATCCGTGTTGATCCAAATAAGTGATCTCGGATCACTCAGTACGAGTGATTCCGCCCAATACGAACTACCATCTAAACACAAATCCGCTCCCTCGTCCTTCTGTGACCATGTGCGGATTGCAATGATGTGGAAAATATGAAAATCCAACGAACCCTTAACGAATCTAAGTCTTTACTAACGACCTACTACCACTTACAATAGTCCATCCATCATCCTCCCAGTGCTGCAACTATACTTATCTATATCGACAGAACCAAAGAACTTTGCGAAATAGTCACCACTCAGAGACTTCGGAACTATAATGCAATGCTCAACACAATCACCAACAACCCACCAAGGTTCGACTCTCGCGTGCGAAATTTCAATTTCTTCTTCCGATTATAAAACAGCAAAAATTTGCTCCATTGCGGGGTTGCCCATTCGTAAAGCGGCAAATTGCTCCTCTGAAAAGTAGCAATTTGCTCAATAGCAGAAGGGGCAATTTATTGGTTTGCCCCTTTTTTGAGCAATATTGCTCAATTTTGTTACATAGTAGCACTTCACATAGCAGCAACTTTTGTATATTGTAGCAAATTTCTGAAA